CTGTAGTCCCAAAGTGAGTGGGACTGCTTGGGCTCAGCTGGAGCAGAGCTGCAGCCCAGGCTCAGGAAATCACACCGAGCAGGAGATGCAAGACATAGTGGGAAGAATGTTGGCTGGGCTAAGACATTCCCCTCTGCAGAGGAAGATGGTGACATCCATCACTATAGCCGAATTCTTCGGGGTGGGACACAACAGTCGGTGGGCCGTGTTAAGAAGGAAGGACGGGGTATTTACCAGGAAGCCCTATCAGCAGAACAGGCACAAGTTGGTTTTGTGTTGGATGTGGCATGGATACCAGTGGGGGGCAAGTCAGAGACTGGGAGGAACCTCAGAGCAGAGGGTGCGGTTTCTCTTTTCACCCTCAGGGCCTGGTCCTCCTTGGGCCCAAAGCAGATGGAGCAAGGGGCAGGAGGCTTTGCAAACAGGGTGCTGGCCCCCTTGCAGCTGGCTGGGACAGTCAGCACAGGTAAGGTGGAGCCATCGGTTTCCCTCCTTGCACTTCTTTTGTGCTGCTGAAGCAGTCGTTGAGTCAGTCTTCACATACAGTTCAGTTTGTTGTGTTGGTACCTGTTGTGTTGGTGGGTTAAAGTAGTTTTGTCTTCCTGTGTTTCTGTTCTTTTCTCTGTGCTGTGCTCCCTCTGTGCTGATCATCTGCAGTGGTTTGAACCATTGCTGCAAAGGGGGATTATCTTTCATTTAAGAAGCTGGAAAGTCATCGCTTAAATCTCATTTATCATTCATCCTATCCTCAAAAGTGCAGACATTCAGTTATTAAACACAGGCAGAGCTTGAGCATCCTTAATGTCTTCAAATCCAACCGGGAAGGTATTTTGAAGACTGACGTTTGGACTACATCTAGCAAGGGGAAAGAGCTCTCACTCAGCACAGATCTGTTTATAAATACTGCTCTCCAGAAGACAACTGACAATTGTAATGGGGCTAATTCTTCTAGCAGCATTGCCATAACACCATCAGGGCTGTCTGGCACTGCACAGGGTATTTCTTTCATGAAAGAAAACTAATCCTAAGCAAGACGGTTTTAGTGTGAGTTATGTTACTTAAAGTGCTATTACAGCAAGTAAAACAAGTGGCATCATTTCTCAGTGTGTTAAAATAAGCTACCCTGAAATCAATATGGATTTATTCCTTGTCTCTTCCCACTGTATCCAGAAGGCTCCTTCCATTCCTCATTCAGACAAAAATGTATCTTCATTTAATGCGTATTATATACTGCACCTGCTGTAAAACAGAACATATATCAGCTCCTGCCCCCAAGCAGTTCCACCTGACTCAGTGGTGATGCGAGGTGCCCTTACAGATCTAGATCTAACTCTAGACTTAACAGATTCTATTTTCCACTGAATGATGGTTTGAATTCCTTTTTCACATGAAAGTGTGATTTCTAGTCGTATTTTCATTCATCATCTGAGTAATGCCTGACTTCTTTGTTTCATGTACACGAAGTCTTGCCATTTAGTTGTACAAGATGTCCAAGGGCTGCATACAGCAGCTTGGATTTCTCAGACTTTATGGGTTGTAGTTTAAGAATCAGAAGTCAAATTTGTTTGTAGCAGCAGCTGGTTTAGCTGGGGCTGTATGAGGTGATGATGACCTTACTAGTGATTTTCCATACCAGCAGCAGATACTTACCCAAGCACTTCAATGGGGAAGGACCGGGGGATGAAGAAGGAGAGGAGCAGAGTGTAAGTTCTGTTTATTTTCAGTGGTATCTCCATGGTTCTGAACCTCTTATCCAGCTTCTTCATGACTGTAACTGGCTAATTACAAAGCAGGGCTTAGGTCAGCTACTTCTGGTTTTGGTGTGGGATAAATGCATGTTTTGCAGCAGCTTTTGGGAGAGCAGTTTCTTTGAGCAGAGACTTTGGGGCAGCTTTGGTCTGGAAATAGACACTTCACCAAGAAACAGCTCTGGGGCAAAACACAATGTTTTGAGCACCAAAATATATCAGACAAAGCACTACCGGATTTGGGTTCTTCTGAAGGCTGTAGCTACTCTTCCAAAGAGCTTTATTCCCAAGAAACAGCTCAGCCTCCTTAACAGCAGCACATCTGGCCTTGTTGGAGGAGACTTGCTGTCTGAATGGCAGGTACTCGCTGGCTCACTTTGGTGAGAACAAGTAGAACAGAGCAGAGTCCCTTCTTACTGCTGATTACTACTGCAATAATCTGACACACAGTCAGATTATTAGAACAGATTATAACAGAAATGGTAAGACTATTTCGGATTATCTGACTTCTGCTCATGGTAGTACTGTACCAAACAGTTTGGACATGCTCCAAACAGTTGCCCCTGAGCCAGTGCTGGAGTGTATCATAAGTGAGTCTGGATTCACTCAGGATGGTTATCAGTCCAGACCTCGGGCTCATGGGGGAGTTGCTCCCTGCAGGAGGAGATGCAGATGCCATGGGTAGCCCACAAACACTTCATTAGCACTAAAACTTGCACTACAGGCAGTGGGATTGGGAGCCTTTTGCTAAAAACGGGTGATTACTTTGAACAAGGGGAAGGGGGATTGACAGCAGGCTTCACAATTGGCCTATCACCAGTTTTATGCTCTTTCACACTGTCACAGCATTTCACTCCATCTTCGTATCTTAAGTGTAGATAAGTAGGTGCTGAACAACAGCTGCTGCTAGCTGTTGGCTTAAGGTTTGAGAAGCGTGACATGAAAATAACCTCTGCTATAGAACAGGTGTCTCATTATAACTTTTAAGCTTCTAGGTCCAGATTTTTCCTGTCTCTTTCAGACAGCAGCTGATCAAACCCGTCTTTCTGCTGGATTTTGTGCCTCAGTGCCTATCTTTGCTCCTCAGTAGAACTGACAGTGTGGACAGCTCGTGTTTGTGGAAGGCTGAAGGGCGCTGACCTGGCGTGCAGAGCGGGGTGAGGATGTGCTCCTTTACTGCCTGTGTTCATTATCATTGTCTGGAATTGCTGAGTGCTGTGAGGTGTATTTAAAAATAGAAAGGTGGTTGTGTTCTGTCCAGCTCTCACTGGTGCCTGAGCCTGGATGAGCTGCTGTAATGTAAGAAAGATCACAAAACAGCCCTGATGTACCTCCTTTCATCGAGGCTGGGCCCCTTCAAGCAGATCTGCTCCAGAAGGGAGAGGGAAAATGCTTCAAGCCTTGTACTCACATCTGAATACTGGTTTGGCACAGATCATGTAGCAAACTGCCTTCCCCTGACTCGATCTGTGCTGTGACTGAGCAGTCCCTGTGGCCGTGTTGGGTTCTGTCGGTGTATGGCAGTGTTCCCCAGCACCACAGCAGATGTTCGCCTGTGCACAGAAGATGAGAGAGGATGAGCTCCAGCTCTCAAACATAAGGCCACACCAGGGCCAGAAGTAAGGCAAAAGCAAGCAGCCAGAGAGCAAGATTGGTACAAGAAGGAGCAGAGTGGTGCCTGTGAACAGCTGCTGTTGTCAGAGGTGAGCTGATTCCTCCTGAATAAGCAACGTTTTCAATATACTGCACCTAAAACAAGTGTGGGGATGGTTTTCTCTGAGAAGAGTCTGTTTTAGATGAAGTGAATGATTATGTATTTTATTCCTGTCTGTACCACACAGTATTTTGCAAATGAGAACACAGATTTTATCTAATGAAAGCATTTACAAGTGTGGAATTAGTGCTCACTGCTAATCTGGAAGCAGTTAGCTGTCCTACAGAACTCAAGTACAGCCTGAAGGGCTGAGGCAGCCAAGGGCTGCTGTGCCTTCCTCTGCTGGTGCAGAACCACAGGAGGCAGAAGAAAGGGGGATGAAGGTCCCAGCTCTGCTCAGAAACCGACCCGGGCTGGGCTGCCACCCATCTGTGCAAATGGCTTTCTGTCATGGGGTAGCAGGTGGCTTTTAGCACCAAGATTCAAACGTGCCAGCAGGAGCACTGACTTGCTCTCTGTGAAACAAGCCCTGTGGTATCCTTGAGCATAAAGTCCTGTGGGATGGAGCAGGGCTCTGGTGGAGTGACTGTTACTTAATTAATATTGTGGAATGATACTAATCCATGCAAGTGTTAGTGGTGGATTGTATTTCCCTGTGCTTGCAGGGGTAGGGTAGGATGTCGACAGTGAGTGGAGAACAAAACCATACTGAAATCAGTCATCTGGATACAGTTTAAGAGTGTTTGAAGCTCAACCGCTCACACTAGAGACTGTTGCTGGCAAAACCTACACAGCCCTTCAAATTCAATTTTCTTTGAGCAGTTTGCCTTCAATCTGACCTTTGTAACAGATGCAGTTCAGAGGGTCTGAACTGGTGCTTCTCTGCTGTCACCAAGCAAAATCTCAGCTATTAACTAAAAGAAGCACACAGGTTTTAATTTTTAATTAATTACACTTTTATTCTTTAGGAAGAGGTATTTACAGTCCTCTGCAGCAGCAGTGCAAAGCCACAGTGTCTTGAGCCTGTCCAGGGCCATGATTTTGGTGAAGAGTACAAATTCAGTGTGGAGGGAGCTTGGGCTACAATAACTCCTACCCAGTTACTCCCTCTGGTCTGAGCTGGTGTGTTTCAGCTGCTCCTCACACAGGAGCCTGGCAGAGGGGAGCAGAGCTTCCTCCCAGCCAGGAAGCTGCTCAGCAGCCCAGGCTGGGTGGGAAGGGCAGCCAGCAGTAGCCAGCTGGCTAGTGGAGAGGTTCTGCAGATCATCAATGCTGACTAACCCATGCACTCACACAAGTTAGGTCTTGCTGTTCCCATTCTTTGTGTGAGGAACCTCACACCTACACCAACTCAAGTTTTACTGCTGCCCTGAAAAAAAGCCTTTCATAAACTGTAATTAGTTAAGTGTGATGTTTAAGGTCTATTTTTCAATATTGAAGCAAGGGTCAGGAATACTACAGAACAGATTTTAGAAGGCTGCTTGGGGGAGAAAAGAACAAGTGATCTTCATGCTACTGTCTCAGCTTAGCTGAACACAAAAGACCCAACCCACAACTGACAGGTCTCCACGGCAGTATCTCACTGAGATACACTGCATTTTCTTGCTGTCCTCTCGCATCTGATCAAGAATAAGATGTAATTACATGGATTACAGTAGACTTGGTAAGGCTTGTAGATGTGCTAAGCTATAAGGAGTTACCCTGCTGTTTGTTAGTGGAATTACTCTTTCTTTCTCCAAAGTTGCCCTTTCTCTACTTTCCCAACAAATTGCAGAATATCTTCAGCAAGAAGTCCAGGTTCCTCCAAAGCTGCGAAGTGGCCACCTCGAGGCATGAAATGGAAGGAAACTATGTTGGTGTATTTCTTCTGGGCCCAAGCCTGGGGTGTGTGCATGATTTCATTAGGGAAGGAGGCAATGCCAGTAGGTACTTGTACTGTGAGCCTGAGAGAGGAAAGAGAATTGGTTTAATCTTTCAAACACTTAACTCTGCAAGAAATGGAAAGCCATAAGGAAGTGTTGTTCCGTCAACAGTTGAGTGCACTGTTGTTAGGCAATTAACATTTGACTTCCAGATCCTACATGTGAAGACAACACTCCTGTTCCTGGAGAAAAAAGAAGAAAATCCATACACTGATATTAAGGCCATTTTGCAAGAGACCCAGGGCATGGGAGTTAAAAGCATGGGAATGGAGAAGAGAACCCCAGGAAGAGGGGGAGGACCAAGTTTCCTCGTGCTCCATTCAGGGCTCAAGAGTCGTGTATTGAGGGGAAAGCACAGGATTTGAAGGGGCTGGAGAGAGATTTACAGTGAAGGTTACAACTAGAACATGTTGACAACCAGAGGGTGGGCAGGGGGAGAGTTACCTTGAACTGCTGTAAAAGGGGAGGAGGGGGGAGGAATAATAGTAAATCAAGACTTATTCAGAGGAAACATTTCTGAATGAGAGACTTCACCTTGTAAAGTAGTTCTTGCTTTTAACTAGCGCGAAGGCACTCTACACAACATTTTGCACATTATTAAGTGATGGAAAGTAGCTGGATTTGAGGAGAAATGTATCTAATGTATCTTAGAAAGTGGAACGATCCATGCTTGTTATAAGCAGCAACGTTTGCCAGGTTTAAATATCCCATACACATAAGCAGCACTGCCAGAAGAGACAGCCTTTAAAAGTTAGGTAAAAGAATTGTTGGGCACATAACCACTGGAAACCTGGAAACAAAGAGTGTCTGATTTTACATAGGCCTTTGAGACTTTCCTCTGGGCACAGAGAAGGTCATATAGCTCATCTCACGTAGCCAGAACCAGAGCAGGATACTGCTCTCAGTGTAGTTGCTACGAGAACCAAGTCAGCTTCCTGGGTGCATCATTTCACAGCTAAATACCACAGCACTGAGCTGTGCTTGCAAATACCTCAGGGCAGGTTTAAGCCTTCACTAACACTCAAGCTGACACAAGTATATGCAACCAAGCTCCTGTTTTAAGTGTCTGCACGGCAGGAACATCAGTCTTAGTAACTTCCAAATTGTGCAGTTTGTCAGTATGCTGAAGTTGCTTCCAAAGGACTTAAATCTTTTGCAGAAATAGGCAAACTACATCCAGAAAAGTCCTAGAACTACCATGCAGATAAACTGCAACCAAAACTGAGTGCCTCAGTCACAGGCTAATTTAGTAACTGAAGTAAAATCTGGAAGCGCTTGCAGGTACTTTTCCCCATGCAGTTGGTTACACCAAGAATAGGAGGTCTTCAAGCCGGGCCTCCAGTCACATCTCCTTACTGATGGTTCAGGATTCTTACCTAACTACTGTGTTTTCCAAGCACAACACAGTATAACCAACAACCTGTCCTGCAGGGGAACACTCTGATACAGCATTGCTCTTCCTCAGCATTCAGAAACTTGCAGCAGCCATAAGGCATAAGCAACCTGTGTGTAACCAGAACACTTACTTACCTTTCATGTTTCTGTGTACCTATCCCCTTCTGCAGGTTTTCCTTGTAGAAACGCATGGAGGAGACCATACAGGCTGACACCCAGTAGATCATGACATTGGTGAGCAGATCATCCAGGTTAAACTTCCTGAATAGGTAAGCCCAGAGATTGCTTAGTTAGAACTGGATACCATTACTTTAGCAGGAACTTGCAATTTTCAAAGGGAATGTCACACCAAGAATGATCCTTTATCACCAAACAGCAGGTAGATGAAGCCAATACGAATCAGTCTAAAGCAAATTCAGGGAGTGTTAAGTTTTAGCATTAAAATGAACCATGAGTTCTGCTTCCCAGCATCTTAATGTAGATTAAACTTTTGGTTTTCTGTCCTAATGAGACTTTTCCACCTAAGTCAGTTTTTAATCCCCAGATCTCTCTTCTAGGAGATCAAAGTGGGAAGGGAGGACCTCAGCTTTTATGGCCTATTTGCTGCTTTGTATGCACAGCACTGCACCATTTGTGGTCTCTACAGGCTCACTATGAGATAGAAGGTGATCAATTCAGACAAACTTCTTTAGCTACAACTCTGGGCTTAGTCACCTCATCCAAAACAGCATAAGAGGGACCACTTACCTCTCTAGTCCTCCGTCCTCTAAATTATGGAATTCCAGATCAGTCCATACAGAAAACTTCTCCAAGATGTACGCAGCCAGTCCTACAGGAGAGTCATTCAAACCACAGCCTGAAAAGGAGGAGGGAAATGTAACTACAATTGTGATATCTACTGCTGAACTCAGACTGTTACAGGAGCTGTAACACAGGGTAGATACCTTTACAAAGCTGTTCCAGCAGCTGTATTCCTAAATAAATACAGTAGAACAAGTTGGAGCTATTTATTATCCATTCATAAACTGATAGTATCTGCAAACCAACAGGCTCCACATTAGCTCACACCATATGTTTTTTGAACTGATGTAACACTATTGGATCTCTGCTGGCTTTTCCCCCCCCCACCCGTTGTAAGCTAATACGATTAAGGACTGTGTGCCAAGTAGGGTTTGCTTCCATGAATCTGGAAGTTGTCGTGTATTAAACAGCATTAATGGGCCAAACCCCACATGCCTACACATGACTGGGAGAATCTGCAACGTTATCTAACAGCAAAAACATTTAAAGGATTATTAGAAAGACATTAAGGAAGAGCAGAGCTTTACTAAAAGGTCCATCTTCCGCATTAACAACAGCAAACTGCCTTCATGTACAACAAGGCTCAATATACTTTTTATAGTTTGTTTTGCTTGGACAGAAAACACACACCTGCACCTGGAACTTTGCTAATCCTAGTGCTGTGAAATACCGGGACCATAAACCACCTCAGCTGCTGGGAAAAGCCTTAGGAAAAGCTTTTCCCAAGGAGCAGCACTATACTTGAAGTTCCACCCATGCGACCCAACCTCCCTGCAAGATGCCTAGTGCTACAGCTAGCACGATTTCAGCAGTCATTAAGCATGGTAGTTGAGTTTCAGTTATCAAACAACTAATACTGATAACTGAAATACCAAGTGTTTGGAAAAGTTGTATCGACATGGTAGCCAAGCAACAGCCTGTTCTCCTATACGTCCTGTGAACAAAGAAGGGTACATCTGTTTCCATAAAGGGAAAACTAACATTGATCCTGACAATACCTGGAATACAGGCACTGCCTATTCCAGCCAGTTGAAAACAAACCCCATACTCCATGCAGATTTCCCAAAGAATAAGTGTAAAATCAAATCCACGCAAGAGAGTTTGATCAAAAGACAGCTCTGAAGCAAGCAAGAGTGTAGTACTGGGAAACACAGTGTGTGTGTGTATGCATCTATCTCAATAGCCAGAGACAACTTCCTCACCTAGGACAGCTTGCAAGGTAGCCCTGTACTACCAGAAGTCTCAGGAAGACTGTGGTAGACTCCATGGCTGTGTTTCCTCCAGCCACCTTATGTTACCTTCTTCAGAGTGTTTTTCTCCCTATGGGAACCTGCCACCTGCCATGCTCCTCTCCTCTTTGTCCTCAGAACTGCAAGAACTCCCAAAACATGAACTGGCTTCTGGTTCCCAGTCAGCGCAGTCCACATATTACTGGTAGAGAGTCAGATGGAAAACCACAGCAGAAGGCATGTGGCTCAGCATCATTCATCTACCAGCTTCCCATCTTTTCTTAAAGCACAAACACAATTACAGACTAGTAATTTTTAGAAACCAAAACTCAAGCAAAATTACTGAAAATCAATCAAATTCCCATTTT